GTTGAAATTTGTTTGTAAAGACAACCTACATATCTTCAAAACAAGTTTTGTTATTTATTCTTTTAAATGTCAGTGCAATGCTGATTATATAGGCAGGACAAGTTTTTGAGTTATCTAACAGAAAAAAATTATGAACAGATCAAATACATTGTATTACTCTCAATATGCTAAACTGAAAAACTAAATTATTATTATTAAAATAATATTAAAAATAATAAACATGCTTTACTCTTCATTCTTGAATTGATTACAACTAAGTTTCATGCAGAAGTTTATATATTATTCATATATGTATATATATATATATATATATATATATATATATATATATATATATATATATATATATATATATAAAATAAAATAAGGCATTTCAACATGTTTAGGTTATTTATTTAAGCACCCAATGAATTACGATGTTGCTATAAAAATCACCTAAAAGAAAATGAGTTACACTTCCTGGAGCCATCCAAAATAATTGATAAAATGGAGGGTGGGTGGTGAAGCAATATAATGTAAATTCTTAATCTATGACCACAAATATCAGTTGATTTTAATTTTGTGCTGAACAATTTCTTTATTAAATTTAGAACAGTCAAACTTTTTTCTTTTTCTGCTTTTATTTGGGATCACATAATTCTTTTTAGTTGATGCAAGCATATTTAGAACAGTTTTTAATCTTAATTCTAAAATTTGAAATGTCCTATTGGAAACTAAAAATCCATTATTAAATTGTAGGATTTAAGTTAAAGGAATAAGTATTTATAAGGGATATCTGAAAAGTAAAGTATAAACATTTACTAATCTGACATACTTATTGCTTATATAAAAATTTTATATATGTAGCTACTCTTTAAGATAATGTTTCTCAACCTTTTTGTACTTCAGGATGTACCTGTAGAATAATTAAAACACTGAAGTACATTTTTAATTTTAATAAGGAAAGATTAATCATGAAATTTGAAATAGGAAAATAATAAAGAAGCCTCCTGAAATAAATATTTATTTTTAAGACATTTCATTTCTTGGTGTCTTTTAGCCTTTTAAAAATAGTCATAAATTACTCTTCTAGTAACTTGATGTGCATCTGACTACCTTTCATGATGCATTAGTACATTTGGATGCACCAATTAAGAAACACTGCTTTTAGTGGAAGATTGGCCTTTGGTGCAACTAATGGTCATTCATTTTGCTTGCTCTCACAATCTCTTCATGTTTCATTGTAAAGTGTCAACTTTTTTATTGCTCATTGTAAAATAGCATAAGATTTTCAACATATTTAAGTAACAAATCATACATGAAAAGTGTTTTTTTTTTTTTTTTTTTTGCTTAATTTATATGGAAGGTACATAACAAGGCTGATTCAACTGATGTCTCCATTTTGAGTGTGTTTGTTATCACTTGTTTCATACAGCATTGCTTATTTTCAAGTTATGTCTTGATTTTATTGCTATTAGTATTAATCTCAATGAGTCTTTCTGACTGGAGGGTATCCTTGAGCATAAATCTCACATACATTTCACAAGCCACATTTCACAGTCAATTATTTACAGTACTTTCCTTTATATAAGCTGTACAAATCTTAAATGTTACCATTCGAAAAATAATAACGGCTCAATATGCTTAGAACTTATTTTCTTTTAATTTTAGAATCAATAAGCGAAAGTATGTTAATTTAATGTCTTTTTAAAAGGTGATATGACAGCTGTCACAATAGAATCAAGTGATATTTTTGAATATAGTTAAAGCTAAATGCTCTTGATGCCATCTATCAACAAACACAGAATGAATATATTGGTTCGTGCAGTCTAATAAAACTTTTAGCATAAATTTTAGAAAGATTTATACTCTAAGTAGCTACATACTCTTCTCATTTACAACTATAACATTGAAATATACTCTTGAAATATTTGTTTTTAATTTCAGAACTAAATTTTAAAATACCCTGTAGATAACTGAAACAAGCTGATCACCATATTTTGTTGTAAGAGCTCTTCACTATAGAGCAGCTATTAACAGGATTGCTTTTGCAAGTGGGTTAGGTATGTTCTCCATTGAGTGCTATATGAATGTGACTGTGCTATTTGTCCAGTAAATATCTGTTCTTGTTTTACTCCATAATGTTATATTGAGATGGTCATATTTCATTGATGTAATTATTATCTGTACATCTTGTCATGGTATGATGGTTCACAAGCTTGTCTCCTCAATCAGTTACTGGGTAGTGAGTTTAATAAGTATCCTATACTTATAGCCTTGTACCAAATCTAAGCTATATTTGTTAAATAATTATGACTTTTTACCCTTAGTACTTATCCATGGACACTGAGTATTGTAATGCTTTTAGTTTTATACAAAAATCTATTGTGCTATTGTAAATAACAAATATAATACTGATAATGATATACATTGTAAAGTTGTAAATTCAAGTGTCTCAAGATCTTTTTACTATTTGAGTATTAACAGCTAAAAATAAGAATATTACCATAAAGTTAAATGTACTGATAATATGTACTTGACCATGAAATGTGTGTGTGTGTGTGTGTGTGTGTATGTATGTATGTGTATATATATATATATATATATATGTGGTCAGGGTTGAATTGGATCCAGGAACAGTAGTATTAAAAAGTGCTCAATACATGTGTGAAAAAAATAATGAAAATAAAAACAAAAAACATGTGGAGCTTTTAACTTTATCAACTGATCTCATAATGTTTAAAATATATATAGTGGAACCTCGACCTATGAATTTAATACATTCCAGAAATGGATTTGTAACTGGAAATTTCATGTCGAAACAATTTTCCCCGTTTAAAATAATAGAAATGAACTTGTTCCAAGCCCAAAAAATATTGATATAAAAATCATGTTTTATGCAAAATTAAGGTACTTTTTTTTAATTATACACAAATAATGTAAATAAATATATTACTGTCTGCTTTCCAGGCTTTATCAATAAGATTTAACCAATTTAGGATAATAAAATGATCCTTCTGAAATTCTCTTAGGGTCAGGTTTGTATTTTTGGTCACAGATCTGAAACAAGGCAACTTTATCAGAGCTCACAGCCTCTCCATGTCTCACTAAACTGTGAATGCCAGTTCCCTTTTTAAATTTTTCTAACCATCCTCGGCTTGCTTTAAATGCATTTTCATCTTCGGAAGACATGCCTGGTTATTTTTTATAAGATCCACATACACCTTTCCTTTGCACGTGTAATATCTTCAGACACAGATTCATCTCATAGCTGCCTCTCATTCATCCATGCCAACAACAGCTTCTCAACATCTTCTAGGGCTTTTGGACAATGCTTGGTAATTTTTTGGACAATGCTAACTCCCTTGGCTATATCAGTTTTTTTTTTTTTTTTTTTTTTTTTTATTTCTAGCTTGTTCTTTAGGATAGTACAAATTGTTGATACTGAACATCCGTATAAATTGACAAGGTCAGAAACACTGGTAATGCTTCTGAATGATCACCTTCATTTGCACAGATATTCTTAGTAGCAACCAACTTCTTGGGTGACACCATGGGCTACAAAAATTTATCAAAAAATTACTCACTAAAATTATCAAAAAAAATTACCCACTAAAATTTATTGTAGATGTACAGTAATATTTACAGTAACACATTAAACTGTACAGTAACTGTATGGGAAAAATGTAAAGGAACAAAATGCAGTGATGACATGTACAATACAAATCAACCTGAACTGGATGCATAGTTTATTTTACTGTGTAGTTTGTGCTCTACCTGCATTTTATACATTTTATTTTACTATAATTAAACTTTATAAATTTTTTACATTTTTCTACTGTACAGTATTGATATCAGTTTTAAATTCAATGATTATACACTATATTAGACTAAAACACACTTTACATTGAGATTAAACGAAGTGAACTCGGCATTCTCACATTTTACCTACTTTTAATTCAGTAAATTTTAATAACATTTACATGTTAGTATACTGTACAGTAATGTACATAAATTTTTGCACATTTTTTTTTTTTTTTTATATTGACACTAATCACAAATATGCGTACACTACAAATGTTTATTTTGCAAGGTAACAAAGAGGACTGAGCGGGATGATGCAATGCTTGTAGCATCACACTGCATCTAGTGTGATGGAACTGTATAGAAATATGTACTGTATAATAATACAGTATTCATAGAAAACATAAAAATATAAGACTAAGATATGGTATAAAATATATCTGCAAATGTTTAGTAGAGTACAGTATAAAAAAGTATTGTAATATTGTATAATATTACAGTATTATATTATTATATATAATAATATATAAAACATAAAAATATAAAATACAGTATATTTAGATAAGATTAAAAGGTATTTACAGTACATTTATATCAAATATCTAGTTTGAAATGCAGTGGCAGGAAGCCCATTTTTAATTTCATAAGTCAAAATTAATTGGTAAGTGGAAACAAATTTTTTGACATTTTTATTTTGTATGGTGAGATTTTCATAAGTGGAGATGCTCATAAGTTGAGGTTCCACTAATATATATAAATATGTGGTGCTCTCTCTGCACAAGTCGGATAGAAGTTACAAAGCTGTAGCTTTGTAACTTCCATCTGACTTGTCCATAAAGAGCACACAAAGTTTGAACCCTGCCATGAAGCACTGTTGTTTTTTTTTTGTTTTTTTATAGTGTGCAGGGCAGTAGACATAATTCATACTGTTTAAAAGAAAATCAGGACATCTACTTAAACACAGGTATCCACAAATAACATTTGCTGGAGTAGGAAATATATATAAAATGTGGGATATTTGAATTATTTTACTTTGTTGCTTTGGTTTGATAAAAGGTACAATGTCTTGCTAACAGAAAAAAAAATCTGTTGCAGCTTTCTTTGTGAATTTTTATCACATTTATTCTTACACATTTCTAAATCCCAATAAAGAAAAAATTAATTGAATCTCCATCTATTATTTTTGAGAAATATGGATAATCTTTTATTTTTATAAGTATCAGATGAATTTGTGGAAGACAGTAATGAAGAAATTGAAGAGGAGCCAGAAGAGGCTGTAGGTGAAATGGGAGAGGAGGAGGAAGAGACAGAAAGTGAAGAGAATGATAATGGAGAGGGTACAGAAAGTGAAGAGGAAAAAGAGGATGATAATGGAGAGGAGGAAGATGAACATGTAGAAGACTTTGATGAGGAAGAGGTGGAGGAAACATTTGCCAGTTCCTCTGAAGAAGATTCAGGTGCTGAAACTGAGGAGGACAATGAAATTGCTGCTTCTTCTGGAAAAGGTATGTCATATTTAGGCAAAAATACTTATATTCAGCCTTGAATATTTATTTTATTATTAAACACGGTTTTTTTTTTTTTATCAAGGTATATTTCTATGCAGTTCTCAAATGCTTTGTAATGATTTACAAAACAAGCAAAATGTTAGTGCTTGAGTAATAAATACAGAAAAAACAGAACTTATTACTGTTGGAAAGTGTTACTTCTCCCCTAATGTATGATATTTAACAGGATTATCCAATCAGAAAAAGAGGGAACATACTAGATAATGCAAATCTGTTGTCTAGCTTGTATTCTAAATCCTCCTATAGGGAGACTAAATCTGTACATTGTGAATGGTGATACCAAAAGTAGCAGTTCTATGGTAACTGTCTTTGAACACAGTCATAGTTATTGGCAGCATATTTTGATAACAGCAATTTGAAAGACAGAACATTATTCTGCAGAAGAAGCAATGTTAATGTCAAGACATTACACTAATTAATCTATTAACTGGCAGTTTGTTTAGTAACTAGGTAAGCCAGCTATAACAAAACAAAATCCAAAGATATCAGTTGTTGGATATGCATAGTGTAAATAAGTCTTTAAAAAAAAAGAAGAAAAAAAAGCTTATTTTTCTATACATTTGAACAATACATAGATATGAAATGGATTAAATTCAAGAATTATTTAATATATTTTCTGTTTATATGGTATTTTAGTATATTTTATTTAAGTAAATGCTTTTTTTTTTTTTTTTTTTTTAAATAAACAGTATTAATTACATTTACTGGGCTGAAGATTCAAGAAATTTCTTAGAAAATATGCATTCTCTGATAGGAATCAAACCTGTGTCCTATACAGAACCATCAAACGATCTGACATCTACAGAGAAGCATCTGGTTAGCAAAGTTTGAATTACTGTTTATAAATATAAGAAGTTCATCCAGCTTTTGACAGGTCTTGTTTTTCATCCTGCATGGTGACCTGCCACCCTCCTCACCAGCAGAAAAGCTAGTGGGGGATCTGGTTTAGATATCAAGGATGGGTTAAATGTTACCAGTAGCAATCCTAAGCCTGATTTTAATGAAATATATTTGGTTGGATAGATGTGAGTTTGTGACCCTGGGTTTCACACTTTAGCGATCGTATCGCTAAAAGCGTGAAACCCAGGGTCACAAACTCACATCTATCCAACCAAATATGTTATCTATCTCTGATATTGAGTGCTTTCTAATAAGTACGCATATAATATATAAATAATTATACATACTTATATTTATTTATATTTATATACACTTTTCACACACACATATATATATATATATATATATATATATATATATATATATATATATATATATAATGTTATTAATATAAAAGAAGAATAAATCAAAGTTTGTATTCATTCACACATTGATTTGTTGTTTTTTTTTTTTTTTCTTTTTATATATGCCTATGATGAGTGTTTTGTATAAACAATTTGTAATCATTGATCATTATTATTATCCTAAGCAACTTTATTGAAGGATTTGGTTTTGCTTGTGAGTCATTATGAGCTTTTGGAAGCATTTATTTTCAAAGCCAGATAATTCTAATACCATCTCTTTAAAATATAAAAAATTGTTATAGTTTTACAAAGAAATTTAAAGATCCATTCATAAAACATGGTAATTTTCATTATAGATTTTTTTTTTTCTTTTAAGTGTATACAAATCTATGAATAAATTAATTTTTTGGTATGACATGGGAATTGCAAAAATTAAATATCTTGTATCAGTTTCCAAATATCTTTTGTAATAAAGTTTTTTTTTTTTTTGTTTTTTTTTTTTTCTATAGATCAGTTTGTTGTCCATTTTGAATCTTTGATACCGGATAAGTATGTGGAAAAATTAGATAGTGGCAAAGGATGGCAAAAAAAACAGCTTAAGGTAAGAAGATAACAGCATTTTGCTTTATACTTACCTGTAATGGAATTAGTCTGTCATGGATGATTGCTTAATAAACTATTCTTGCAGAATTATTAACATTGAGGTTATTCCTTTGTATGTTCCATAAATATAGTTTTGTAGCATAATTACTACCACACCCAATAGTTACCAAATTTTGATGAACTTAGAAGCATATAAAAAAGATTGTAGAAGAGTTTTGGTTTAATATGTTGATAAATTCAGATAAAGGAAATATTTAAATTAAAACTTGTTTTTAAATTTCTCTGTTTTAGCTTACTTTTGGAAAAAGTATTTGTATCTGGAATGAGGATAAGTTTAAAGCAGAACTTTTGAAAAATCCTGAAAACAATCTTCAAGAGTTACATGTGAGTATTTGCTTGGATTTTTTTCTGATCTCAATTTTAGCTGTTTCCTTATCCTCAGTGCATTTATTAAGATAATTGTTTACCATAGGTTACTGTCATATTTCTTTTTCTCTTGTATGGCTGGGAGTTTTACATTAAAATTTATTAGCAAGCTTAACATTATTTTAGAAAAATATTGAATTTCTAACTAAACTTTTGGCAGTCTATCAAGATTTTTAAAAAATTTTGTACTTCCTTACATAGGCAAAGATAGGAATCAAATTATAATTGCAGTAAGTATAAAAAATCATTGAAATTGAAAATAATATATGCTTTATTAAAAAAAACTTTAACATTTTTTTCTTAATTCATTCACAGGTGAAACAAAAGCTTATTAATAATTTGGAAAAGGCTAATACTGTGGGAGATGAAACCACAGGTAGATTGTTTTTTTGTTTTTAGTGTGTGTGTTTTATTGGTAATCTTCATTACATTATCAAATATTTTAGTGTGTGTGTGTGTGTAAAAAAAAAAAAAAAAAAAAAGTTATTTGTTAAATGTTTGCTAATTATCATATCTAAAATTAAAACCATAATCTTTGTAATATGTTAGTCAACACAAATGCCTATTAGGATTGCCGTTGATAAAAACATTGCCTTTGAAATAATTGTATATTTGCATGTTACTCTCATACCATCTAAAAGAATTTAAGTATTTTGCTTTTCTTTACTATTTAACAATTTTAGTGTTTAAAAATCTTTTAATAGTTCATTAATTTTCTATTCCAGATTCCTTTTCTCCTTTCCAGAATCAGTTGTTTCAAGTGATCAATTCTTATCAGGTATATATTTTAATGGCTATATTAAGTTTTCAGTGTTTTGGCAATCTTTTATGTTTGTGAATGTGCAGTAGTGTAATGTATAGTGGCTCAGAATGAGAAATCTGAATTGTAATTCCAGTTGCATTTGTTACTTCCACTCACACCCAAATACATTTGGAAAAGGTAGGAATCCACCTCTTCAACCCCCCCCCCAAGTGAAATTGTACAAAGTAGGAATATTTAATATATGTAAATAAAAGTAATAAATACATAAATTGATGCAAAAGTTCTCTGTATCATCTTTTGCACAATGTTAGAAAAATTTTATAGATGTCGATCTAATCATCTCTTCATTGCTTCCATGTGCATAGTTCTTAATTGTTTGTGGAAGAGGGAATTTTATTTTTTATTTTTTTCCCCGCTTCCAATTTGTGCTGAAAATATTCAACATTTCATTGAAATATCACAAACTTATTACCAAATTTTTAATTCTCACTTTTCCTTTTTTTAGGATTTTTATTATCCACAAAAAAATCTTGAACAGTCAGCAGAGGTAGAAATGGTCTATTCTTTGCATGTGATAAATCATGTTCTTAAGTAAGTTGTTTTTTTCTCTTCTTTATACCTGTAATCAAAATTGGTAATGCCAGTAAGCAACTGATATTCTAGCAGTTAATGTTCAATTACTTCTTACTTCAGAAATAAATTACAAGAGGGAAATGAAAAATAAACAAGTTTACATGAAAACGGATATTACTTCATTTTGTAAGAGTTTTGCTTTTTGTTTAGATATAAATATAATATAATATTGAAATACAACATGTCTGCAATGAATAATAAACAATAATTAATGTTGGATTTTTAAAAATCAGACTGGTATCTTCAGTCATAAGTTGCTAATTCTGTTGTAAGCTACTGAAACTGAACAAGATTTTTTGCTGAATGCTTTATAAATACTGCCTTGTGTTCAACTTAGTATGCTTTAACAAACTCTTTCTCTCTGATAAGCTACAGTGTGAACATTAGAAATCAACCATTTCTATGTACACACTGTCTGTATCTACTAATGGTCTCTGTTTCTTCATTACTATAGCAAATTTTACACAAAATATATACATGGATATGTGTATGTAAATTCTATACCAGTAGTGACTTTTAAGAAGCAAATAATCATTTAAAAATATATTCTATATATAGAATTGTGTAATGTCAATTTCAGAGGTATTGGATTAGTATTTACTTGACTTTGATTGCTTATGCAAAATCATTTACCTTGCAAGGTTTTAAAATTACAAATGTACAAGTGTTGTTAATTTACTGTAATATTTAGGTAGATCTTAGGAATTTACATGAGTCTGATTCTTTTGGGTGTGTATCTGATGTTAATGAGAAAGTTCTGAACCATCTTGTTTCATAATTAGTGAAGAATTTTTAAATCCCTAAAAAAAATTTCTTTATCTTTTTGTGCTATTTTACTTTTTAATATTAATGCTAAGATTTCATAAAATATTATCAGTAATTAAAAAAAAACTCTACTTACAAAATTTATGAGTTGAAAAGCTATCCTTCTTTCTCAACAAAAACAAAACTGTTAATATTTATTGAAGCAAAGTTTGCTCTATTTTGTTACAATGTTCAGTTATTTTGTTTTGTCTGAATAAAGAATATATTAAGTGTCATGATCAGTAATTATAGCAGTGGGTGAGCCCTCACCAAGCAACTTTCAAACTTTTTTTAGTTTTTATTCAGTAATTGTCAGTACAGGTTTTTGTATTTGTTCCCTTATCTAAAAATGTTGATTTTTAAAAAAAAAAAAAAAGCTTTAAATAAATATGAGATCTGGTTTTAAAAAAAAACCACAATGCCAAACTCCAAATTTCTGTTTTTATTTCATTCTTATTTTAATGTTTTTCTTCTGTGATTCAGAAGCAGAACTCGGGTCCTTAACAACGATATCAAATTAAAAAACAGTGATGATAAAGACAGTACAGAAGAATTTCTTGACCAAGGTTTAACAAGACCCAAAGTGGTGATTGTGGTGCCCTTCAGAGAAACAGCTCGACGTATAGTATCTAATTTCATAAAACTCTTGGGCAATACAGAAGTGAGTCTTTTTTTGTTTTTGTTGTTTTTTTTTTTTTTTTTTTTGTTTTTTTTTTTTTTTTTTTTTTTTTTTTTTTTTTTTTTTTTTTTTTTTTGTTTTTTTTTTTTTTGTTGTTTTTTTGTTTCTGTTTTTTTTTTTTTTTTTTGTTGTTTTCTTTTTTTTTTGTTTTTTTTTTGTTTTTTTTTTTTTTTTTTTTTTTTTTTTTTTTTTTTTTTTTTTTTTTTTTGTTGTTTTTTTTTTTTTTTTTTTTTTTTTTTTTTTTTTTTGTTTTTTTTGTTTTGTTTTTTTTTTTTTTTTTTTTGTTTTTTTTTTTTTTTTTTTGTTTTTGTTTTTTCTTTTTTTTTTTTTGTTGTTTTCTTTTTTTTTTTTTTTTTTTTTTTTTTTTTTTTTTTTGTTTTTGTTTTGTTTTTCTTTTTTTTTTTGTTGTTGTTTTTTTTTTTTTTTTTTTGTTTTGTTTTTTTTTTTTTTTTTTTTTTTTTTGTTGTTTTTTTTGTTGTTGTTGTTTTCTTTTTTTTTGTTGTTGTTGTTTTCTTTTTTTTTGTTGTTGTTGTTTTCTTTTTTTTTGTTGTTGTTGTTTTTGTTTTATCAATAACTAAAAACAACATACATCTTCAATTTAGATGAATTTAGTAATTCATGTTTTTATTAGAAAAAATAGTAATCTTTTTTTATAGTGTTAAACAGTGGTTAGTTCATTTAATCATTATTTAACCATTATTCTCAGCTCTTCTTGAATACATTTTGAAATGTCTTATTGTCTATGTTGCTCTCTAACACAGTTCAATCATTTTCAGCATACTGATCCAACTCAAGCCCCCAATAGGCATCCTGAGTAAGACGATAAACTACGTCCAACAGCAAGGCCTAAGATCAGAGGGTTCTGAGGAGTGTGGAACCACCTCTTAATGACTGGTGTTCCCAGGTCCACATTGACCTAGGGTGATAGCACCTGTTAGGGTCCTAACTATGGGCAAATAGTTAACACCGGAACTAGGATAAAAACACTATGAAAGTGTAAAAATAGGTTTTAATATCAAAAATACTTTGTAAAAAAAAACTGTTACCAGCATACATTTTAAAACACAAAATATTACCAGAAATAGATTTGACAAAACAAAATATTACCAGGAAAAAACAATTTTGTCTGCATTAAATAACCCATTTGAGGTTGATATGCTGTAAAACAAACCAAACCGAACTAAACTCCCAATAGGTTTTACTGTTATTTTACTCACCTTCAAACAACAATCTAAAAAATGGATCACAACTTTAGCTCTTTTAACTCTCTGTCCAAGTGGTGTAATAGCAGCTTGGAAGAAGAAACAGCCGAGTTGAATTCTAATTCTGGTGAAGTTTGTTATATTCACTTTTGTATGCTTGTAAAAGATATTAATCTATCTCTTTTCTCCCAGTCATGGGTTGAGCTCTCTAGCTGTGGGTGGCAACCAATCTAGGAGAAGAGCAACTCTAAATTCAAAATTGTATTTAGCCCTGTCAAATCACACATAGGGCAGACAACAAAAGGATGGTGGACTTCTCAGTGACTATGATCCTGCCTGCTGTCAATCTGACGGATTGAACTCCATGGAAGCAATGCTTGCAATCTGCTGAGAATTATTAATTAGTTAAGATCAAAGTATTAACTAAATTTCTTTAATTAAATATTGATTATCTGCAAGCATTTTTTTCTTTTTACCTACTTTCAGTTTTTTGGCTTTAAAACTTTGCTATATTCAAGGGAGTGTTAAAAAATTAGAAACAAAACCAAACAGAATGCTGATTTTTGTGAAGTGAGTTAGGCTAAACTTTTCAGTATTTCTGTCATAACTACAACATTGACTTTTACTTCAGTTTTTACAAAATGCAATAATCACTAAAAAAGAAAATGTAATTATTTTTTATGTTAAAATTTTCACTTACTATAAAAGTTTTTTTCATTTCTTTATATATATTATTATGTACCACCCCCTTTTACTGTTATAGTAGTAGTAGGAGGAGGCACTGTAACACACAATATAGAATCACGGATTCTTTTCCCAATGGTCCTTTCCTGATTGATCAAACACAACCAAGCTAAATGGAATCAATTAACAAACAAACACTGTAAGCGACAAACAATAGAAAACAAAGATATATAGGGATAACAAATAACCATTTTATTACTAAAATATACAAATGGGAAATAAATTTGTTGGGGAATATTAAAAGATGAAAAATGGGGCAAAACAAAACGATGAGACAAAAATAAATATTATAGGACAAAACAATGGGGTGGGGGACTTACCTTTTCAGAAAGGTAAATATTATATTGACAAACGACCTTGTGCTAAACTTGCATGAAATTACAAATGGCAAAATAAGCAAAGATAAAACAGGTAATAGAAACAAAGGACTTATCTGTTATTTGAAAAAGTCTTTCTTTTTCTTTTCCTTTTATTTTAGTGTCTCTTATATGTTCTGTTTTCTTTTATATTTTATTTTATCTTTTCTCCTTTCCTTACTGGGTAGAAAGTTTATCTGTGAAATGGATTTCTTTTTGGTTTCCTTTCTTTCTTTTTCATCTTGTCTAGGGGTCAAGTGAAGAATAAGTTGAATCTTTTTTCCTTGGCTCTCAGGATAATCTTTGCTTGGATGCATGCAAGTTTGATCAAGAACCATTAATTGTCAATTATTTGTTTTTCATTTTCACACTTTTTGACAGTACTGGCTCCTCATTCAGAGTATTCTAAAATATAAACTTTAGTGTTAATTTTAGAATAAAATTAGATGAGGGTCTGTAACAATATTTACATACAAAAATGTTATAAATAGTCCTGAAGAAGTGATCATTTGACACTTTGTCTTTAGACACACATTTTTAATGATTTAAAAATTTAGAGAATCTACAAACAAAACTTTGATAAAGAATTGTTATATTTTAAATCAAGTGTTTGCAAGGTATAAATCCAATAATGTGCTGATTTTATACAATTAATTTAGCCAAAGAGTGAAATGAAATAGTTGTGAATTGGGAATGGTGCAATTACAATGCAAAATCTTCTGAAATCTCTCAAAAAAAAAAAAAAAAAAAAAAAAAAAAAAAAAAAAAAAAAAAAGAGTAAATTAGAAGTCCAGTTTAAAACTAATTGATTCAGTTAATTATCCTGTTTTGTGTCTTTAGCAGTAAAAAAAAAAAAAAATGCTGTAGAGGCCATTATTTATTTTTTCTCTTTTTTTATGTATGTGCTTTTTCATTACTGTTTCTAGAGTATCTTATGGAACTTGTGGTCTTGATTAACAGAATCAAAAAGTTTCACTTTCCAACCGTCTAACCGCCATTTACCATGGTCTACATATAATCACACTTTCTATTTATAGACACAGACTGACAGTAAGAAAAGATTTTTTAGTGAATACAGCCTACAAAAAGAGGAAGTGATTAATGCAAAAAAACCAGGTAAGTACCAATTATTTATAATTTAATATATTCCATTATTGGAATTAACTCAAAAAAAACAAATTATACTGCCTGACACCTGCCAAATTTATGCTAAGTGCTAATGTAAATACTGTTTGTAACCAAGGAATAAGTAAAAAAACAAAAAATTGTTTACTTATAAAAAATAGTTGCACTGAAGATACAAAAATTACAATTCAAACAATATTAAAGAATACATCATGACTATTTTTGACCACTCAAATCAAAAAACAAATCAGTTTGTAATTTACTATCAAACTAAATCATATAGTTAATAACACAGGTCTAGCTCCATATGATGTATAATTTAGCCATAAACCAATTTGCTATTGTACTACTGCTACTATTATTATTATTATGACAGTGAAAATATAAATTGCCAAAAAAACAGAATCAGGAATAGTTATTTTCATTTTATTTTGTAGAAATTCATGTATGTAGTTGTGATGATAACTATTAGATCTTCAACAGTACAAAATACACTTCTGCTTTATTTAGCATTTAAAACTTATCTAAATAAACTTTTTATGCTTATATTAATAATAGAAAGCAAAATAGATCCATTCCAATTTAATGTCTGTAAACATTGGATAAATGGTAATTTATTGAAATAATAAAATATAAAATAAATAAGAATAATAATATAATTACAAAAAATGAGCTGATTTTACATGGATTCATTTAACATCATTTCAATTAATGTTGGGGTTTGCAGTAGCATAAAATTGATGCTAAGTAATGTATAGTCATATTTATTTAAAAAAACAAACTCTTAATTTCAAATCCTTGCACCATTAATGTAACTGTTGGGATGACAATCAACTGATTAACAAATGTGATGCATTCAAAGATGCATCCATGCATTAAGAATTGAAATAATGACAAATAGGGAAAATTGTCCTCAATCTACAAATATTGCATTATTTTCTTCAGCTACAAAAACTGTCTAAATTCTATTTAAAGATGGTGTTTTTTTTTTGTTTTTTTTGTTCCTCTGAAAGAAAAAAAATTTTAATGGTAATTTTTCCATCTTGCTTTGTCTTCAATTGCAGAAGATTACAAAACTATCTTTGCTGGAAACACAGATGATCATTTCCGTATTGGCATAAGTTTATCTCGAAAAAGGTTTAAGCTTTATACCAAGTTCTATTCCTCTGATATCATCATTGCATCTCCTCTTGGATTAAGAACCATTATTGGTCCTGAACAGTAAGTGTAATCTTGTTTTTTTTTAAATTTTCTTACTTTTTTTTCCTCTTCTGAGCCAAGAATACTTGATGTCAGAAAAACTTGTAACTGGAAAACATGAGATTGAAAAATATAATATGAGAACATGAAATTCAAAAGAAAAACAAAACAACCATGTATTTTTAGATCAAGCTGAATCACCGGTATCAACAAATTTTATATTCAACTCTAACAGGCTGAGTAGTGCCAGATATACATCAGAAGAATTTGAGATTGTATAGAAGGTAAAATGGGTGTGTCTACTATTAAACCAATAAAAAGTGCATATATATATATATATATATATATATATATATATATATATATATATATATATATGGGTGAAGTTTGAAACCACACCACCTTATGTCATAATTGCCTGAATGTATATATACAAAACTTTAACTTCACTGATAAGTTTTTGTTCATATGTAAAGAATGTTATTATTTTGTCAAATTGTACATACAAGGCATTAAATTTAGCTGTTTTTCTACTGCTATTTAAAGATATAAATGAATATTACAAAGTTTTTTTTCAGATCTCTTGTTAAATGAATTCACTATCAGATGATTTTATTATATAACAATAAAATTGTTAATAACCAACCAATGTTGCTAAAATTGTCAGACTATACTAATGATACATATTATGTGAATTTCTCATCTTTTGTAGAAATATTTACAATAACTTATTTCTGGGATTTTATTACATATCTCAAGGGTTGTAAATAAATATATATTAGTATAGATAGTGATATTTATTCTTTAATCTTAGATATAAAGATTGCCATGTGTATTAAGAAAGCTATAACCTCAAGAGAAGTGATGGTGTTGGAAATTGCAAAAAAAAAAAATTGAACACTCAAAAAAGGAAAGTTAAAACTCTGGTAAGATAAAAACAAGAAAAAATGGCTTAAAAGATATCATCAAAAGATTTAAGAAAAATAAAAAGGGTAATAAGCAATAAAATTGGCTTGATCAGCAAGAAAATATTGAAAGAAGTGGAATTGCAAATGTAAGCAAAAAATTCAGAATATTAAGAACATTGGCTTAAGACATGAAAGCAACCAAACTACCACCTTTTAAGAGAAAAGGAATAGAGGAAAATGTTTTCCAGAAATGAAGTAAAGTATTATGAGATAGGAAAATTTACTTAGCCATTCAGCACTCTTTTCTGTTTCTATATAATACCTAATCTCTTATGTGATTTTTAGACAATCTTTTCATTGCTGAAGAAGACTTGTGTTGACATATATGATTCTATTGATGAATGCTAAGAATACCATGAATTGAACATATAAGCAACAAGGAAGCTTTAAATAAAAGAACTATAATGAAGCTTTTACTTACAATCAGAAAGCTGGTTGGAATTTCTGGGTCACATAAGGAGTAAAGAGGGTCCAGAGAATGTAATTCTCACAGGATATATTGAAAGCAAGAGAAGCTGGAAAGAAACAGCAACGAATATACTTAATAAGTTTATGTAAATGGATAGCAGAACAAAGTTGGATGATAAAGAGTCTAAAGTTACTTATAGCATCAAAAGACAGGAAGTTGTGGAGGTCACCTACATCCTGAAGGCACAGGACACATAAGAGATATGAGATGTTTGGTTAACACAATATTTCTGTGGCTTATCTTTTGGATTTGGTTATAAATAAAATTTCATGTTGTATTTAGTTTGCATAATAAAATATGACCCCCTCCCCATAAACACAAGTTATCAGTATTTTTATTATGGATATTTATTATAAGCTGAAACTTGAGCAATATATTGCTCATATAAATGTTCTGAAGATTTTGTATTGGTTTTAATATCAACTTTATTGTAAAAACCTTGACTTGCATAATAAAGTCTGACACAGTGTATGTACTGGCCCTGATTTGACCCATTAAGATGCAGTTTGTGGGTAGTGTAATGGTTATCAGTATAGAAAATGGAACTGACAGGCAAACTTCAATTTCCAGCCAAGGCTGTTGTTTAAATTGACATTATTGACAATAGTAGGAATCCATAGCCTCACACTTCTAACTATGGGTAAAATAGTAAATTAAACTGATCTCTTTACCCTTGGAGAGAGCAATCTATCTAGAACAGTGGTTTCCAAATGGTGTAACAAGCCTCATAGGTGCAAGGAGGATATCAGGTGAAGGGGAAGGATTGAAAAGCAACCAAAGATTTAGAAACGGTTTCAAAAAACTTATATGCAAAAAATAAATATGATTTCAAAATTTAAAATATTATTATGGATTACTTATAATTGCATGCATGAGTCTCAGTATAAATAGTTATAAATAATTATTGACTGATTTTATCATTGTGATAAATTTGCATTATATCAAGAATTAAGAATATAGTAACTAGGATCTGCAAATTGGAGGAGAAAGTTATCGATGATAATGTTCTGACGTCAAATCCAGTTATCTCCATTTAACCCTCTCTCTGGATTTTCTGTACTGTAGGGCTGCTTGCCCCTTTTCATTGGCACTTCCCTTTCATGTGGCACAAGCAAATTTCCTTTCAAAAAATGCATCCCAGACAAAAAGTCTGGGAACCACTGGTCTGGAAGGACAAAAAGTCTGGGAACCACTGGTCTGGAAGGACAACAGTGACTTCAAAACCTTAGTGAAAGCAGTGAGAAACTACTATTTTTGCTGAGAACAGTAATGACCTTTCGCAATTTACAGATATTAAAGGAAATTGTGGAGATCCATAATCACCTACATCCTGAAGAAACATGATTTTTAAAAAAGAGTAAAAGTAATAAACCCATGTACCCATTCACTCTAGTGTCTTTAATGTTTTTAGTATTATTGCTACTTTATCATTCTACAGATAATTATCTACATAAATCTTTATTTAATTTAAATATTATTTATTTTCATTTTTTTTTTTTATTCTAGAGATAGCAAGAAAGATTATGATTTTCTATCGTCCATAGAAATATTGATACTTGACCAAACTGACATTTTCCTCATGCAAAACTGGGATCATTTAATGGTAAGTGGTTCTTTTAAATAGTTAATGTTTGTGCTAAAAGTTCATTGTTAATTTTTTTTTCATGTCAGTTTTGATGTTACTGATTAATGATACAATATTTAAATATTAAGAACACAAAACTGAATTATCAGTCAAAGCAATAAATATTAGTGTACATCACAGATAAAATCTTTCAGAAAATGAAAAATATTCAAACAGAATTCAGCTTTTAATAAATTGGCCTTTTTCATCAATCATACACTTTTTTTGATTCAACCATATGGCAGTAATCTTTTAAACCATTTATCTCACTTTTAATAATCTTAACAATAAGAAATGGGCAATCTTTAACCTTCATGCCGACAAAATAAATGGTGTGTCAAAAGGACGGTTTTTTCCTCGACACCACTATTATTTTAACTGCCTTTACTCATCAGCGGTGAATTTAGACATTTTCTTTGTTCTTGAGACTTTGCAACAAAGATGATAAACACTATTTATTTATTTATTTATTTATTAGGTTGTTTGTTTACACTATTTGTTTATTAGAATGATTAGCAAAACATTGGCTGATTTCCAATCACTTCAAACTTTATAAAATGGTAAATAAGTATTTCATTATAGTTGGTTCACATATTTTTATAATTCAATAAATGTTTATAAATTTATGAATAAAAAATTGTTTTTATATTTATTTCTTTATAAATTAGTAAATGGTAAATATTGTATTAAATTATTTTTAATAAAATTGTATTAGCTTTTAGAATGTTGTAAATATAAGATTATTATTGTAAATATGCAATCTAATGGTATTTAATATTTTTGTTTTAAATTCTCAAGAACAAAAAAAAAAAAATGTATAAATTCACTTTCACCATACTTAGGTTTTATTCCAATTCTAATCATTGCTTTTTAAAACACTAAACATTGCAGAGGAGGGATCTTAGTTAAAATAAGAGTTGTGTCAAGGGGGAAAATGTCAGATCATTTTTTTGTGAGTACGAAGATTAAATATTGTCAAGAAATGAGTATAAGTTTGTTCACTTAATTAATTGTCCAGCCTTCACTTTGTATTTTTCAACAAATCCTACAGCATTGAGAATGTCTTAAATAAATATTGAAAATTTTACCTGATGCACATAAAAAAGGCTGAATTGACTTATTAAAAATAGTTAAAACCAAGTCTTTATCTTTACTGCACTCTATAATAAAACAATAGTCTCTCACATTCACTGTAAATGGAATATTTTTCATAGTTAAATTCTAGTAAGCATCTGATTTTATGACATCACCACAAAGTAATCAGCTGTTGTTTCTTAAAGATTTTAGATCTAGATTGAGGCTTTACAGAAATGTGTAGTACATGTGTTTCTTCATGATGCTCATATTTCAGTCTTTATCTCTCTTGCCGAGTTCTGGCTTGAAGTGAATGCAAAATGCATTAATTTGAAGGAGATCACAAATACCATGACAATAGTGTTCAGTATAGCTGTATAAGCCAGCAAGAAGTACCATAATAAAACATGACTTTTCACTAATTCATGATCAGTAGTCAGTGTTCTTCTAACAACTTAGCACCTGACATATTTAACTGAAGAAAATTACAAAATGTACTGAAATGAGGACAAGGAGAAAAGTTTATCTAACATGAACTGTTTCTCTTCAAATCATACATAGAAATTCTTGTTATATCTGTATTTAAAAATGCTAATAAGGGATATTTGCATTGTCAATTATTTTTTTTATATTCTGTTTCAGCATGTAATGGATCATCTACATCTACAACCAAAGGAATCTCATGATTGTGATTTTTCAAGAGTTCGACTTTGGTCTCTAAATGGATGGTAAGTTTCATGTTGTTATTCACTTTCTTCTGTTAATCTTGGTCATTTTTCTTTTTTTTTAAATCTGATCTCTAATAATTTAATTTTCATATGTTGGTAATTTCATTTTCATGTTATTTCTATATCTTAAGAATTTGAATTGCACTGCTTTTCAGATTACACTTTGGAAAAGATGTATTTGCTATTAACTCCTAGTATATTGACACTGTACAAATCAAAAATTTAAACATGTTTCATTGAATGTATATGAACATGATCAGTGGTAATTTCTCATAAAGTGGCTTCATTCCAAGTGTTGTGTCTAACTTTTATATTAATTTTCTTAAAAAAAAAAAAAAAAAATGCTTATGATCATATGTTGAAACACCGGTTTCTGTATGATCGCTGAAGTTAAGCAATGTCAAGCTTAGTCAGTACCTAGATGGTTGACCACTTGGGAATACCAGGTGCTGTAAGCTTGGATACATGGGTTGTGTAATGGATAATGGCTTTTAATTGTTAATCAGAGAGCCAGGTTCCAATTCCTGTTTCGTCTGTTATAATTACTTACATACAAATACCCTTAGGAAAGTTATGAATCCACCTCTTCTCACACCTAGCTATGGGTTAATTACTAAGACTTGTATCACTAGCTATTATTATCTCACAAAAAAATTCTTACAATCTAAAACTATTTTCTGGTTTTAAGTAACTTGCAAAGGTTTGATAAGCCTTAGAAAATGAATGAATCAATAATTCTCTTAAAAGTACTCTTCATCGCTCTTGTTAGTGAGACTTTATTGAAATTGTTTCCATTTTTGTTTTATTGGCAGCTTATGTCATCTGTGATGTATGGATTAAACAACATTCCTTATTAGGAATTAATCAAGTTATATTTTGATGAATTTCTGACTTATATGGTGTAATATCATGTTACTTTAATGCTACACCTTATTAGTGCAATATCATGTTACTTTAATGCTACACCTTATTAGTGCAATATCATGTTACTTTAATGGCAAGTTTTTCCATAGTGGTTGTTAATTTCTCTTACCAGTGGTAATATTTAACACCAAATTTAATGTGTAGTCATTTTAAGCAGTCACTGGTAATCAGTTAGCTTTATGAATATGGTTTTATGCCAAAGTTCAATAATTATTTAAAATTACCTTTCTTTCCAGGTCAAAGTATTATCGACAGACAATAATCCTGAGCAGTTTACCCAGCCCTCCTATTAGTTTGCTCTTTAACAAATATTGTTTCAGTATCCTTTTATCACTTGAAAATGTTATTTTAATATTAACCAGCTTAATCACTCTAATACCAAAATTTTCTTTAGACACTATTATTGAAAGCTATCAATAATGTGTTCAAACTTATTTTAGCTTATTGCTTTGCCAAAATATGGTGAATATCTTTTTCCATGTTGCCATTCCATTCATAGTAGGCTTGTTCAAAAATTCTATTTCCATTGATAAAGTCTTCTTTGGCACAGATTTGTTGAGATAATGGTTAGCAAGTTAGACTTGCAGACTGTTACTACTGTATACAGGTTGAGTATCCTTTATCCAAAATTCCCAAATCTGAAAACCTCCAAAATCTGAAAGTTTTTCATGTGCTGACATGACTTGCCATAAATGGAAAATTTCAGTAAACACTGGAAAGGTTCCTAGGTGATGTGCAGCTGTTGTAAGTGACCTCATCTGCCCTGGGTGTGAGTTCCTCAGCCCAGGTATGTAGCCTACAGTTTTTCATTAGAGATCATCACAGCAACACCTTTGTTTGTGGATTACTTACCAGGTGTTTCGTGTTCAGTAAAGATATTATTTAAAATGTCAAAAAGTCCTGCAGTTACCCATATGAGTAGTGAAAAGAAAAAAGAAAGCATTTATGTTTATCAATATCACAGAAATTCAAACTGTTGGAAAAATTAGAGAGGGGTGTAAGTGTGAAGCATCTGACTGGAGTTTGGCATTAGAACAATCGCCATATATGACATAAGTTTCATGAAAACTAGAAAATCACTGCACAGAGCAAAATATGATGATCTTGATCATGTATTGATGGAGTGGATTCATCAGCATCAGAGTGAACATATGCAGCTTATATAAAACTACCTATATGTATAAGCTGTGTTATGAAATGTAAAGGGATATTGTGTTTATGCTTGCGTTCCATTCACAAGTTGCCCTATTTTATAGATATTATAAATAAATTAAATTGCCTGTATTCCAAAATCTGAAAAAAAAAAAAAAAAAAAAAACACAATCTGAAATTTGAAAAACTGAAGCACTTCTGGTCTCAAGAATTTTGGATAAAGGTTTCTCAACCTGTACTGAGTTTTAACCCCATGAGTTGCCTCCATACTTATACCACTCTAAGCTAAGCTACCTTCTATAATTAACATAAAGCATCAAAAGTAAGTATCCTTTCTTATGGAAAAGCTTCTTTTTTTTTTTTCTTTTTTTTTTTCCTTAACTGGTTACATATTATGCTGGCAAACTTCAAGTATATCCTGCCCCTACTTCAGGTTCAATCTGCCAAGTTGCACTGCAATTACCATTAGTAAGTAATTTATTACATTCTTCTGTATATAGTCATGATCCATTCATAATGCCACTTTGATATTCACATCAGAATGATTGAAGTAAAAGAAATTTTTAAATGTATAAAATTCTCAAAATAATGACAAAAGATTGAATAAAATTCAGTGACATAAGTTTATTCAAAAGTGGATCTAAAATGAATCCTGAGTTAAAATGTTTTTATGTGTAACCAAAATATATTATTAATGTGCGTATTGCCCTGGGCTCTATTCTTGGGCCCACTCTGTTCCCTATTGGTATTTCATCAGTTTAAGTCTGTTTGAAAAGATAAGTAATTACTGCTGTGTGACGTGAAAAAAGAACGAAACCTAACTTTTATGAGTTTAACAGAAGAATGGGGGGGGGAGAAAGGAAGGTTTACAATAATGGTGTTGCAAAAAATGGTATTTTGCAGACTTACCTTGTCACAGAAATGTCCTATTAACAGTTCTTTGAGATCTTGTGATTTCTTGTGGTGGTGGCACAGCAATGTTTCAACATCCGGATTGAGAAGATATTTCTTCAAATGGAGTAAGTGCTACAATCCCAGGTTCCACAAATCTATTGAAGTTTTTTTTCTGAGAGCAGTATTTTGTATGTGCTACTTGTTGAAAACCAATGTGGGAAAGAGGAAGAAAGATTCAAACATGGCATGCAGATCAGGATGTAGCAGCTTCAGTAAGGTGCCTTCTGATTGGTTCCTTTTCAGCCAGTCACAGGGATTGTTGTAACAATGTCGTGGGAGTTGCTCCAAAAGACTTATAGTAATTTCAATACTATTTTAATAAATGACATACCTGCTGTCATCAATTCCTGGTGACATGGCTATTTACTCTTGTCTTAACATTAATTCTGATAAGATCAATAAAATCAAATTGACAGCTGATCTCTAAAATGGCCTTCAATCTGTTATCTGGGCAAGAAGTGGCTTAATTTTAAAGCCTCTAAAATTAAACTGCTTTTTAATAATCCTTTTAAAGAACCTCCAGGAGAGCAATGCACTCCACCTTCTTGATCTCATGTTTTCCACTGACCTGAAGTGGAATGATTATATTGAATCCATTGCTAAATCTGCTAGGAATGTCAATTCACTATATCATACTAGACGATTTTTCTCACCAGATTTTGCACATTTATAAAGTCCTGCCCTTCACAGTACAAGTCTGCTCAGAGCCAATCAGACTAGACAGGACAGCCTGCAAACAGCTGGCTAAGATCTTGGCTAAAATCTTCAAATCTGTATTTAACATCATCAAATGCCAAAAGTTACCTATCCCATAACCAACATTTTTGTTTCTGTGTAGCAATTTGATCACACCTCTGAAGTGTTGAAATATAGATCCCTGCTTCATCCAGTTGTTATAAATCAGCTCCAGCAAAGGGACAAGAATGGCGACTACCTCAAGTACAGTTGGTAAGGTAAACCATCTAATACTTTTGTTAGATGTTGCCAAAAATTGTTGATCTGCCAAAACAAATCAGGCCACTCTGAATGGGGCATTGGACGCATGAAGCCCCATGAGATGAAAAGACTTATCCTTTAAGGTAACATTCAGCATGCAATGCCTGCCTGCCAGATCTGTGAAGAAAAGAGCACACACCACATTCAAAGACTTGCTCACTAGCCAGGAAACCCCTATCAAAACATGCTGAATAGAAGACACGCCTCTTAGACAGAATGTATTCAGTCGAGAGTTGAAAACTGGGTCTTCTGTATGCAACATACATTCACACTAGGACACTGAAGATTGCAAGCAAGACTCCAACCTCAGGCATTTACCCAAGTTAACCAGAGAGACATGATTAGTTCCATTAGTGTTGGGAACCTACCTTAAACATGTTCGGGGAAAGAACACCAATGACCCCTCCTATTGAGCCTTGGCCCATTTCATTCTTAATGGAACCATCTAGGGAGAGACCACCTTTGTCCCAGGAATTAGTTAATTTAAAGCTCTATAAAGGGAGGGATGAATGAAAACTGGGGCCCTCAAGTGAACAGAATTATTGAAGATTTTTTGTTTCTTAGTTTTCAATGATTGTAATTGATAGGGTGATTTTTAAATGTGCCAATAGCCTCCTCAATCATATTCCATGTCTGCCATTCCCAGTTAGAATTGTGGTGAGAACTCTTGTGGCTTGGGAAAAATTCTGGGTATTTTCTACATTGTGGTCACCATATTTTTTTTATTGATAAAAGATACTTCTGTTATTCTGTTCCCATAATTTTTTGGTCTCTCTGCCTGGGCTGGAGGAAATACGCCTAAATTATATGGTAATTTGGATGTTTTTTTTTTTTTTGTTTTTTTTTTCCTTTGCATCAACTGATGTTCTTCTTTGCCTTTTGGTGGATGGAGGCATTTCTTATTTTTAGGGGAAATGACTGGGAGTAGAGTTTGGTACATGCATTTTTTTTTTTTTTTTTTTTTTGATGGGAATAGAATCTCTACTGAGCAGGATAATTTTGCAACTGAAGGAGCTGTGGAAGACAATTTGTGCTTTGATTTTTGTTATGGCGAGGATGGGGGAGAGGCTGAGGGGCGTAATGACATTTTGGATGGTGATGATTTCTTGTAGCTTTGGTGCTCTAATTTTGCTTTGAGTTTTTTCATTTTTTTTTTTCTTTTTCTCATAGCTTTTATAGTTCCTCAAATGATGTTTTCTCTGACGCAGAGGTGTTACCCTTAATGCTGGTAAAGAGAATGGGGCTGTGTGTGCCTTTAATCCCAGGAGCTTCAGGGAACTGAGGCTCCACTGTCTGATGCTTCTCTCTGACTCTGCCAACAAGCGGGCATTCCCCCTTTTTCTTCTTGGCAACCACACAAGCAGTAGACAAAGGCTTTTTGGTGAATGCAGGCTATGAACAGGCCCCAACCAGGAGTTTTACCACTCTTGTCCCAGTTGCTGACATGCCCATCAGTCAGCCAGAGTGGGGTTACATTTGTTTAGGGCTTGAACTTCAGAGGCTTTCTTCTCTGAAAAGGAGAGATGACCAGTAGAGTTGGTCAGTTTGGCAATTTATGTTTCAGTATTGCTTTCCTTTTTTTTTTTTTTTTTTCTTTTCTCCCTTGATAACGCTGTTTTCGATTCATTTTTTTTGGTTTCTAATTTAGTATTTTTGCTTTCTAAGGAAGCAATTTATTTTCTTGTGTAATGATAGCATTTCCAGTTGATATCTGATTTTCTTTGAGATTGATAAATTTTCAACTTAGTCCATTCAACTCACAATTTCTCATGTATTTCTGGTCCAATCTTAAAAATATTCATATGGCTGGATAGAAAATAATCTTTGTAAATATGTAATTTGTATATGCTTTTATTCATTGAATTATTTTGTTTTTACAGCGAGTTAAAACTGTTTTGCTTTGCACAGCTGAAAATGCGAAATATGTTGTTTTTTGTTGTTTTTTTGTTTTTGTTTTTTTGACTAAATTTTACACATTACTTTGTTTCTCAAAATCAAAGTGACCAATCTTTATTAATATTCTTGAACTTGTACACTCAATTAGATGACACCTTAAACTACAACCAACAAAATGTTCATTTCTTCTCTGACCCGTGGAAGTGAATTCCTTCAAAAATTAAGTAAGCATCAAAAAAAATAAATAAGATTAACTGATAGTATGTGTGGTAAAAGAACTTTCAAATTATTGAAACTACTGTCTTGTCATGTAAAATAAATACCCCATGTACTTCTAAACTGTTGTTATTTTGAAACGTCTATCATTGTGGAAGTCTGTTAACTGGTGCATAATGGGCCGATATTTGGTTTTAAGCAAGGGTAATAAAAATTTATAGACATGCATTAAAGACCACTGGAAATGAAAACTCGAAAACCGTGAATCGGGGTGAGTAATAAAGTAGGGATTGTTCACCTAAAGTCAGTTTTTATGCTTTTAGTTATAGAATTTGTGACTTAGATTAACATGTATTAAATTTTTGGATAAATTGTCAACTATAAATAACTACCATATTTATTAACAAATTGGTAAAATATGTCTTTGGACAACACATTTTTTTTAAAAACCCCAAAAATGAAACCCCTTATTAAAAATATGTCAGTTCTTTTCTAGTATGCCAGTCAACTGTTATTGGGGTTTTACAAATAAATTTCTTCTAAACAAGGAAAATCAATGAGTTATTTTCCCCCCTAAATAAATTTGTTTTTATCTAGTGCATACACTTAAAATTAAATATTAAAAATAATTAAAAGCTTTCAATTTCATTTTTAGAATGTGTTGATTTCCTGCGAGTATCACCTGTTCTGTTCTTTTTTAGATACACATTTCACATTTATTTCCTAAAAGAAAACTAGTCAATTAAATGTTTTTAACATATATTTGTTCAATCTTTTTCTCTTACAATGGTATAAATGTTGATAAAATTTAATTTTATTAACATCTGAAACTCTTTTTCAATAGTGTTTCTTTGGATATGATCACTTAGTAGAAGGATTTCAGTTTTATAAAAAAAATTTCTTTTTCAATTAAACCACCCATCTTTAGTGACCAGTCTCTCCACACTTCCAGCATGTTGGTTTTTTGGCCAGTCACTATGACTGGCATCTTCAAGCCTGTTACATCAAGACAGTTGGGGGCGAGAGAAGAAGGCTTCCCAATTGAGCATGGCCTCAAAACTCCATCTCCCATTCAGGCCTACAGGTTGCATCCAGTATCTGTCCAAACTGTGACATACATGGCTAGATGCTCCCTGATAACCTGAGGAGGGAGCTCAAATATATAAAATGTAGCTCAATGTTTGTATGTGCTTAGAATAATGAAATCTTTTGTAATTAGTTCCTGACTTGCAGCATTTATGCAGTCTTCAGGCGTGAGTAGCAATATGTCTTACATGAAGAAGCCCTTACTCTTAATTATTTTATGTAGCTTAACTCCCGGGGACTTAATTTAACCACTGTGTCTTTCATGGAGTGACAAATTTTGCATGAACGCTTGTCCATCACAAAGACTGACACAATCCATTTCTCAAACTTCTTTAGTGTGCATAACTCTTAGCCATGTTGATTATACATTTAGGAGGGGAGACTTCCAACAAAAGGACGAATCTCAACCTCAGCATTGTCAATAATCTTAATTTGAGATGCTTCTTTTTCCAAAAATTCCTGGTTGTTATTAATTTGGCCTCCATACTTTTGATTTCTTCATTTTTGTTCCAGTTCATTTCATCCTCCAAAACACAAGGATTTTTCTTGGTCTTCATTTTTCCTTTATCTGGTGGGTCCACCTTAGAAGTGGTCCCAAATAATTTTTTTTTTTTTTTTTAACCGTTACCACACTGCAGGCAACAATAGTCGCCATAGAATTCTCTCCCTTATAACTATCGGTGACTTCTGTCACCTAAGATCGTTGCTATAAATAAACACTTGTCAACTGTTATTTCTGGTATTTTAAGCTAGAAATCGTCTACTACTACTTTGGAACAAGTCTAAGCATCTCTTTTCCAACACCATTTTGAATTCTTTTAGACTCTACATGAGGTGTAACATCGATGAAACCCATGTTAATTTTTTTGCAATTTTTGTAAACAAAAATGACCGCGTCAATATCCAACAAAGCCTTTATTCAGGATTTTTTCTTTTATTAACACTCTGATGATGATTTTGAAGGCTTTACTTGAATGAATATTGAAAGTGAAATGGTTGGAGATGATAACCACGCTAGTGACGTGGAGGAGCGCGACAATAACCATTAGCGGCTACTATCACTCACGCCCGAGTAATTTTATGAAAGGTACTGACAACCATCAAGATATCTGATAGCATTTCTGAAGGTAAATTATTTTGTCTGTTTATAAATGACGAAATATTAACTTTATTCATTAATGAGACAAAGAGCAAACAAATGTTAGTGTTTTCTTGTATGGAAACACGTCACTTTTTTGACAAAATGAAAGCCTTTTTAGCAATTTTTGCTGCTTATTGCAGCCCCAGAACTTGACAAGGAGTAATAAAAGTTAAAGTACATTGAATTATTTATGTATTTTTCAGTGTATTTGTTTTTTTTTATTTTGTATTTCAATTTTGTTTTCAACGTCAAAACATGCATGCAAAATGTAATATATTACATCAAAATATTACCCATTCATTCTTTTATTAGTGTACAAAAATTAAAGTCCATATGCGCAATACAAAGAAAGTTATAACAATTTTAAAACAGTAAGTGTTCATATTTTTGCACCCTCAAAAAAAAAATGCAATGGCAGGGGGAACAATTCTAGAAAGAAATTAGTGTGGTAATGGTTAATAATAGACCGACTTTGAGATCTTTTTTTTTCCTTTCCATGCAAACATAGTGTACATGTGTGTTGTGTGTTTTTCGTTCTCTCTTTTCTTCCCCCCCCCCAATATTTGGTGAGTACAAAGAAAGAATTTACTTTAAAGCTGCAAACAAAAAAGGCCAAAATAAACTGAAAAAATATAAAAAAAAAATGACAAAAGTCTAGCATAAAATAATTAAACACTTACAGCAAAATTAAAAGCAAGAAAAGAAAAAATAAATGAAAATGACTAGTGCGAAAATAACGTTACAAGAAAATAAAATTGCTTATTGCCTTGAATAAAATAAAAAATGAAAAACAAAATACAAAAATTGCAACAAATACAGTCAATGTAAAATAAATGTAACTAAAATAACTTAAAACTTTTTGATAGTCTAGTCTTTTGAAAAAATAAAAATGTGAATTCAAAACAGATGTACTCTACACAAAACTTAATCAGTCAGAGATTCACTAGGCAAATGAATGTTCACTATCTGGAAGAAATACCATAGGCTTATATTGAGCTCCATGGCAGAACCCATTATAAACACAGGTGAGATAGGCAAATCCAACAACAAAGCATTAGTTTCTATTAATTGGTGGTTGTAGGTTCAATTCCTGTATAGTATATAGAACAATAACATTGATTGGCTTCTGTAAAAAAAATTGGTTGTATTAATTCATCCTTCTTGATAGGCTTCACCAGCCAACACACAATAACATTGTCTATGCATTGAATATTACTACCTCATCTAGTATGGTACTTTTGTTTTATATCTAGAGATTCTTGATAAAATCGAAACAAGAATCTGCAACATTATCAGTCCTGACCTAGTACTTCATCTTTCCACCATCGTAATGTAGCTTTCCTTTGCCTTCTCTATAAATTCTTTGTTCTGATGAGCTTTCTTCATTAGTACCTCAACTTTATGAATTGAAGTATGGTACTAGATTGGTATCTAGGTCTTGTGATTTTACTGTTGAAATTGCTAGTTGTAACCATAAGTTCTAATCTAATTTGTTCTTCTTCCATAATTCTCACTTGTGGAATTCTTTTAGCTTCTTACTTTCCTGTCAACTACAATCTTCAAAAATTTTAAATGCAATGTCAGTCATCATCTCTCTCCTTGAATCCTGTTTTATTGTTCTCTATTTCTGAACCCCCTTGTATCAGTGAATTTTAATGCGTTGCTAGAGGTGAAATGAATTTAAAAAAAAAAAAAAATCACATTCTTGAGTTTCTGAGAAAAGCACAAAAATACAGTTATAGTTTGTTCATTTAAAATTTTGTTGATTATTGTGACTTTTCATTTTATATAAAACAATTGCTATGAGCATTTTTTTTTTTTTTTTTTTGACTTAGCATAATAAAAAGCTACTTCATCATGGTTTTCACTTTCATTAGCACATAAATTGTAACCTATAACTTTTTTGAAAAAATATGAATGTAGAGTTAAGCATGAATTGATATTGCTAAAATATTCCAAGTCTTTTCTGTTAAGATTTTTCAAACATGTTCCATTCATTTTTCAATTTCAGGTTTTTCACAAAGTAGAATCTATGAGTTATGCCAAATTGGCTGATGTCCGATTTAATATGTTCATCAAAAAGGTAAGCTTTAATTGTATTTTCTGGTTGGAGTGTTGGGGATTTCTTCTTAACAATTGTATTTTTTTATTATTTTAAGATAGTATACTACTTTAATAAATTTCATTAGTTTTTAGACTTTTCTATTTAGATTAGCACTCAATTGCTTCTCAATTCTCTTTCACGATTTGATGCTGTTGCAGGCACTGCTTCTAGTTAGACTAAAAGCAGTGGCAACAATATGGCTGATTTAGACCTTTTTCCTTCAATTCCCCACATTTTTTTGAAAGGGCTGTTTCGAATTTTAATTTAGGATTGGTAAATGAGTGCCTATGGGTATAAATTCTGTTTCAATTCTCCCACGGAAATTCCAATGTAAACATTATAATTTGTCATATTTTCTTTGGGGGCAATGGTTACCTGGTATATTACCCTAGTGGATTTGCATTTGCCCTCGACTGAGTACCTTTCTCTATCTCTACAGTTACAGGGGTTTTTTCTACTAGATTCAGTTTTTTTTCCCATAGAATTTATTTAAGACATAATTAGAAAGGGAGTTGATAATTTGGTACATGTTCTTAGTGCAGGAGTAGCTAATTTTGATAGATTTCCTATTGAAGATCTTACTTAGAGGGTTGTTTTTGTGGAAGTACTCATTTATTCATTTTAGAAAGAGCTGTCCAATATTAATACTTGACATTTTGCAGAACTTCTATTTCTACACCTACATCTCACTTTAGGTGTTTCAGTACTACCTTTGTGGGTTAAATAAAATAACTTATTTTTGAAACCATTTTTTGAGAGCCTTTTCATACAGTTCTTTATTTTTTATTAAAGATTTTTTTCATTGGACAATAATTTATTAATTCTGGTACAGACCATAGTCGGTATTTTTTCCAGGATGATTTGGGGGGGGGTGTTAAAACAACCATTAATATAATTTGGTGTTTCATTCTCTTTATGGTAGGGTTTAAAAGTTTTATCGTTGCAGTTGAGGTTGATGTCTAGGTAATCAACTATTTTAAGGTTAGAAGAAATTTCAATCTTAAACCCTAGTAATTTAAAGGCCCTAATGATTTTCTTTTGTAACTTTGTTGTTAGTGGACCATTACTATTGGGGAGGAAGATGAGTCCGTCATCTCTATATGGTCCCACTAGTTCTGATTTTATGATTCTACTAAGCATGTCTAAAGTATAAAAACATACTTAATCCACAACCTGGGCTGTCTCATACACTCTCATGGGAACATCAAAATTGTCATTATGGCACTTAGTCCAGGTAGAATTAAGTTTTAGCAGTGGTTTACTGGCTGTTAAGATGATATTAGTTTCATCATCCATTATCTCCATATAGTTCTTTGCACACACACACACACACACACACACACACATATATATATATATATATATATATATATATATATATATATATATATATATATATATAATTTTTTCTTTCTTTTTTTTTAATTTTATTTATTGTACCAGTGGTAATAAAACTAGAAAAAGCATTATCTGTACTCTCACCATATATCTTTAGACAAGAGTGCAGATAAATCTTTAATTTCCCTCGTAAATAGTTAGCAATGCTGATTTTAAATTTTTTTTGCAAAGTCCTTTTAGTGTCTACCTATAAAATAATAGATACTAAAAATTTAATCGGTTATTATGCCAACAAGAAGAGAAAATGTCAAAAACATAACAATGGGTTTTAACTTTGGAATGCTTATTTTTCATTAAGGTCTATAAGACAATTTCTCATACTTTTGTTTTAACACAATGTGAGCCTTTCCACTGGCATGCTAGTAAAAGTGATACTGTATAATTAATCTGATTTTCAATATGAATATTAGTCAATCAATATGTGACAAGCATACATGCAGTGTTTGTAAGAACTAGAACACCATTTTGACCTCCTACTTTGGTGCTTGTATTTGAAAATATAATACATTTTCAAATCATACAATGATAATTTAGATCTAATAACCTAACAAAAGGTGTGTTCCAAAAAGAAACCCTCACCTTCTAGATACATATTTATATTATGAAGTAGAGAAAAATATATTCAACTCGGTTGAAGGCAAAGTTAAAAAGAATTGTGAATCCTTTACAAGATAAAGTCCGTATTAAAGCTGATGCCATGAAAGAATAAATAATCGAATTATTTAAATGTCCTTTGTGAATGCTTCTTAATACATGCGGTACAAAGAGATAACAATGGAAGATTTGTGAATACAGATGTGTTGTTTTCTTTTTATTAATATATTAAATCTTTTTATTTTTTTTTTTTTTTTTTTTTTCAGATCCTCCCTAAATTTAAAGGCAATGCTGCAATGCGTAGCACTATGGTTTTCATTCCATCATATTTTGACTTTGTTCGAATTAGAAATTATTTCAATAAAAAAGAAATCAAATTCTTGCAGATCAATGAGTAAGTAAAATTGTTTCTATATAAACTAAGAGAATAATTTTGTAAGATTAGAATCCACTTGGGTTCAATATTACCATAATCTAGTCTTTACAGATTGAATATACATGGGTATATTAATAAGTCTCTATCTTAAGGGTGAAAGAAAAGTTTTTTTTTTTTTTTTTTTTTTTTTTTCAACATAATCTCCTTCCTTATCAATGCCCTTAACTCAATGGTGAATGTTAATTACAGATTGATCATAATACAGTATAATTTTAGGTCAAAATTCAGCAAGTCATTGTGGAACTACAGGCTTATTGATTCACCTTCATTTTTCTTTTTTGCATCTCAATCAAATTGAATATGTATTTGATGCCATTAAATTTTTGCTAATTTTTAATTTAGCAATATAACATATTTGGAACAATATGATTTCTCACACATCTTTAGAAGATAAGGAGATACTTTCTTTTAAGTCCACTTAATTATCTGAGTTTCATAGGAATTTTGTCTCCAGTCCATCTTCGAGTAAACTTAAGTGTCAGTGTTTTGGGATTGATGTCTACAGCTACTTTTCAATTGGGAGACATAAAAGTTTTATCAATGAGTTTAGATAGACATAAAAGTAGTCCTTTGAAGATATGACTACCCATGTAGCTTTGGGATGGTCCCAAATCTTTCAGAAAACAAGTGGATGGAGGGGATGGGACTCCAGGATTATCCATATAAGCAGAGAGTTGGAGGAAAGGGGGGTCCGGCTGTGGGAGAAGTAGGTAGGTGATCAGAAGTTAGAGCCACCCAGCAGCGAGTGACAGGAGGACCAGTAGTGATGAATCGGGAGTCACCAAGCCTAGAGGCTGGTGAAGTTAGGGAGATAGCAGTTCAGCTGAAGGGAAAGATAGCTGGCTGAGAAATCGTATTGTTGCTGCTTCCTAACCAGGCAGTCTTGAAAAACAATTGTCATCACTAGTATTATTTGTTGAAAGCAATCACAGCCAAGAAGACAAATCTGTGCACATAGCGAGTTGGATGTATATGCAAATTGTTACGTCCGGGGTTTCGTTGGGACTACGATAGCCGGGACGCAACGAGAAAATAAAAAAAAAATAAGAGATCCCAAGGTTCGATATAAAAATAAAGAAAAGAACGTTGGGAGGGGAATTCTCCAATTCCAGACGTCGGTAAACGCAGAGAGAAAATGAACCATATGCAGACACAGAACAACAAAAGACGACACGAGAATATATAATACAAAGATTTTATTTATAGAATATACAAAGTGTGAAAGTAAGAAAAAGAAAACTAAATAATACAAGGGATGGGGAGATAAGTTACCAATTAAACAGATACTAATGCTGCGAAATACATATGAATACAGAGACAGCAGATTATAAGATATAGAAAAACATGCAGAAACTTACATAAGGTTGGAATTGACGTCCATTGACTATTATCGGGGTACAGTTTGATCAAAAGGATATTCATACACTTCTCTGAAAGTAAAGGATGGGATTGTCAATGTTCTAATATGAATTTTTGACTGACAACGTCCAATCCATGTTCATGGCGAGGAGAACACACAGAAAAATCCCGGGAGTGTAGCCGACTTGGGTTGAGGATGTTGTTCTAGATTTTCTCGTCAGTCCTTTGGTTTTTGGTGGCATCTAATTCTTCTGGCATCAAACAACGAAATCTGGTTTTGGTGACAACTGCTTCTTCTAACAGCAAACAGCTAAGACTGGTTTTGGTGACGTCTGATTCCTTCGAAAGCCAGCAACTATGTGAGAGCATTGTCACCTCAACACGTGTGAAATGAAACTGCTATGAGTTGAGTCACGTGTCCCCCCCCCAAAGTATGCATTATTCACGGACCCTGTTAATGTGATTCGCACTTATCTGTCAAACACTGTTTGTTTGGCCTACGACTATGGATCTTGTTAATATCATTCACACCTATCTGTCAAACAGTGTTTGTTTGGCCTACGCATCAGAGACCAGATAGGAAATGGGGGAGGAAGGGAAGGTTCTTTTCCGAGAACTGGCTCTGACTCATCTGGGTATAAAAAAAATATATCCCACAATCTGCATATTCAAGAAATAGAAGTTATTAAGATTCATATGTTTCATCGCAAATACACAAGGTACTGAAAATATACTTATAAAATCTGAGGTGAGGGTACAAATCTAGGGTTAACGTAACAAAATATATTCAACCTTGGATGTCATCACAGGTGCAGTGAACGACGGACGATTGGAGATTGTCACAATTATGCCACGAATGGTGACACATTGACAATGTTAGTCATTGATGCTATATTGATAAAAATGCTCAAAAAAGAAGTTTTAAATTTTATGGCAAATAAATTTGAATAAAATCTGCCATTTTTCTTCTATTTGCATAATTAAGTGAAACATTTTTAATATTCTTTCCTTGAAATAACACTTTTTTTGTTACTGATATGATGTTCTTGTTAATCCTTTTATTTTTGGCTATTCCTTTTTAGTTGGTCTAAAGTTGAAGAAATGTTTGTTGGTGCAAAATCTTTTTTCCCCTTCAGATATTCAGATGAGGATGAAGTTGCTAAAACAAGGAGCCAATTTTTCTTGGGCCAAACTCAATTCCTTCTCTACACAGAACGACGTCATTTCTACTTCAGGTAAGTATTTTGATTTTTCAAAAAGAATTTTCATAACTTTTTTTTTGTTTACAGTTTCTTATTGAACAATAAAAAAAAAAAAAAGGTTCATTTAATTTTTCTTCTTGGTTACTGGATCTATAAACTAAAAGATTTTGAATATTCACTGGACACATCTCATGATGAGTTCATGAGAAATTTAAATGATTTAAAGGCATTTCTATTTGAGATAACAACATATAGATGCCAACACTGAACTCTTTAAAAGCTGGATTCTATGATATGGCTTTGATTTTTCTATGATAAAGATTGTGTGTGTGTGAGCATCAGTTTGGCCTTAATTTTGTATATTAATCCATTTTTCATTGTGGTTAAAATAAATAATATATACCTCTCACAAAATTGATGGAAAAAGTGTATACTATGATGATAAAAATGTCCCAAACTTGATAAAAACTAGGTTTCATTGTCAAAATCTTTGGTCTTTCCTCTTAATAATAAAGTATTTTTTGATTAACATTTTTTTTAGAACATTCAAAATTTTGGTTTTTAAAATTACTGAGTACTTAAAAATGATATATAAAACATGCTCATGTTATTCTTCAATTTTTTTTTTATGGATAAGCCCCTGTAGAACAACATTAGATAAACATCAATCTGTCAATAGATTAAATATGTAGCTATCAAAGTGATAAAAAATGCATTTCTACAATGTTTTAAACTTAAAGTAAATAATATTTTTTCAAATCAGATTAATTATAATTTAAATCGATTAATATTCTGCAAATAAATCTTCAGAAAAGTATATTTTTGGAAAATTTTTTTAATAAAGAGAATTACATTCTGATAACAGGTTTGCTAAATTCAAAATGAAAACTTCTCTCAATCAATTTAAATCAGTTTTGAAATACAGCAAAGGACCTTGCTTATTGGAAATTTAATATTTAATCTATCAGCTTGAAAATAAATGATTTTTAATTTGTAAAAATTAATTTGAAACCTTAGGTATCGCAAATCTGTGGATATATATAACTTTAAATAAACTTATTTTTGAAATATAATAAAAAAAATTTTTTTTTTTTTTTTTTTTTTACAAATTCAGTGGGAAGAGCCAAGCCATGTTTAAATGGGATCTATAGAGGGCCTGAGAAAAACTAAATCCATTTTGTATACATATATGTAAATCTCAAAACTGTCATTTGACTGACAGGAGCATCTAAATAAATCACTTAAATGCACCTGTTGCCATGACAGTTTATTACATTGAATTCCCATCTACAAGTCATTCAAAAAAAAAAAAAAACACTGGATGATCAAATGCCCTTTACTTGAGGTATTATAGACACACAAAGTTCTCTGATTATAAGTATTTGGAAATTCAAGGTTAAATTTGACTATTAATTATTTTTAAAAAATGTGTGTGTCTGTATGTGATATATTCCAGTTTGCAGTAAAATGATTATGTTGATATGTTGTGTTAATTTTTTTTCTTTTTGCTTTATATCATTTCTGATAAACTTTTTCTTCCAATTATTTAAAGATTGAAAATTTATTCTCGTCTCAGTTTCATGTTTGATAATGATTGTCCTCTTCCTGATTTCTACCAAACAAAAACAAAATGAATAAAAGAATGATTTTATTCAATCATTGTTTTAATTTGCTATTAATGATCCCTTAATATAGGTACCTCCACGAAATCGCTAAAAAAAGAGCATAGCTTGATGAAAAAGATGCCAATCATGGAGGTACCTACCTTAATACCACTGACCTATATTATTGGTAGTTGTAGAGTAGTATTTTTATGTGATTATTTACATAAAAGTAAATGAAGATGCACAAACATAGTTATATGTCAATAAATGAAGAAAAATTAACCAATTCAAAGTTCTCTCAATAATGAATTGATAACCATTTTGCAATTTTTTAATTATCTAACACACATTAAGAAAAGTTTTAGGCAATTATTAATAAAATAAATAAAAAAATAAATAAATGTAATACTTTATTTTTATGTTACAGAACTATTTTAGAAACAAGCCTTTAATCTATTTGTATACAGTATTAATGTATAAACAGAAATAAACTGGTATATAATCATCCCCATTACAATAATATTAATATTTAAGTGATAGTGCCTTTCATTTACTATTACAATAAAAAGAATTTACTTAAATTTTTCATCTGATTCTAAGTGACACATATCTTCATTATGAGTTATTGAAGATATTTGAAAAGTCCATAATCTCTGTAATCAAAAAAAAAAAAATATGATCACTGCCTTCTTGGAAATTTAATGCAATGAAATGGGTTAAAATCAAAATTATTTGTATGACAATAAAGCTGCCATCAGTACTTCAGGATTTAAAATCTTATGGCAGTAAGAGAAAAATTTACAGTGTCTGCATCCTTTGTTAGAAATTCAGGAGCAGTACAAAAGGAAAACCTTATTTCCTATACTTTTGTAGAATTTGATACTATTTTTCAATCTTAATGCCTGTGTATTTTAATTTCAGACCCAAGATTCGTGGAGTCCGTCATGTCATATTCTATGAACTTCCCTTGTATTCACACTTCTTCAGTGAAGTCTGCAACATGATGTATGATTCCAAAAGTAAAAAGAGTTCCAAAAATGATGTCACAGGTACTGTTTTGTACAGCAAATATGATGCCCAGCGCCTTGGTGGTGTTGTGGGCACAGACCGAGCAGCAATCATGATCAACTCCCCCAAGGCTGTTCATATGTTCGTCACAGATTCAGGATGAGAAGTGAAAGAGCAAAAAATGACAAAACTGATGAAGAATTTTTATCAATCATCTTTGTGATTCATTCAGAGCATTAAAAGTCTTAACTAAGAATAAAACAAATTTACAGCAAGTTGATTTTTCTACCAAATGACTAATAGTAATTGCAAGTGCATTGAATTTTTGGCATTAACACTGAAGAATATTAAGCAAACAGTATGTAATAATTATTGTGAAATGAAATTACACAATATTTAACACAATTTTATTATTATCTGTCCATAGTTAGTCTAAGAATGCATTACTCTTTGGTAATAGCAGTTTTAAAAAAAATTATTAATATTGCACAATATTATTGCTTATATACTATTGATTGATTAATTTTCTATGGCTTTTCAGTACTTTTCTGGTTATTTAAAGCCAGAAAATAATTTTAGATTGTAAGTTTTTTTTGTTTGTTTTTTTCTTAGATAATGATTTAGTGACACAAGTCTTACTAATTAAGCCATAGCTGGGGGGGGGGGTAGAAGAGGTGAATTCATACCTTTTCCCAAGAGTATTTGCACTTAAGTGTATATAACAAACCAAACTCGATCACATAGTGTTTAAAAAAGAAAAAGAAAAAACTGCTATGAAATTTAATTTAAATTTTTTTTTTCTCTTTAGTAATAATGTAATCATACAACACCCTCCTCAGCCATCCAAAACTTCCAGCGGCTGGTCAATGAAGATTGCTTCGATCTCAGACCTGCCTTATCCCACATTGTAATTTAAGTTTTATCATAAGGATGCTAGGATCAAATTATTGCAGGTATCTTTGTGTTGGGCTGGTCGAAACTGGGCGATGATATACAGGAAGAAAACAAATAACACTCAAATAAATTGAACAAAAATTAAATACTGTTTTTATATCAGTACTTTGTATAATAATTGGTTTATATCAGAGTTCACATGCAATCAGTTATCAGCCCAACCTGCGTCTAAATCAGAAGTGATATTATTGTTGTTGACTTGGCACAGTTTGTTGCAGAGGCTTTTGTTGGCAGATAATCACATGGGTCTCTCTCCTGTCTCTGGTCTCATATCTGTCTATTCAGGCTCTCTACTCTCTTCTAATTTGCTGTCCACCTGTCCCTTTCTTCTGTCCAGTGGAGGGGGGGGTCAGTGACTACCCATGTGTCCTCATCAGTCTCTAACACAGGGTGGTCCTTCAACCTATTAGAGTTAATTACTCTTATCTGGTCAGCTCTATCATTCACCCCAAGCTCTACTCTCACAGATTCCTCTTCCAACTGCTTGAGAATTCTGGAGAGTAAATCTGCATAGGTGTCATCCTTTCCAGCCAAGTAATCTATCTTGCAATTGTACCTACTTATTTTCAACACCCACTTCAGCTGCTTCTTTATCCATTCTGCTTCCAGTAAATACTGGAGAAGTCTATGGTCAGTTTTTATGGTAAATGTGGCTCCATTCAAGTAGTAATCTAACTTCTGGGTGGGCATACATAATAACGTATACCTTTCTCTCAATCACTGGCCATCTCTGCTGTGTCTCTGAGAGCCTATGTGACAGCATATTGGTACTTCCTCCGGTATACTGGGCATGAGGCCATCCTCATCAGAGCATGGCTGGGCAAGGACCGCTTGTATACGCTTTAAACTCCTTTCTTCCCTTTTATCAAGCTTTTTAGTGTGTTGAAGTTGATTGGATTCTTGGGTTGTCGTAGTTAACCCAAGGTCAAATCCGCACCAAATCGTAGTCTTTCAGGATTCCGGTTTGCAGTGACCAAATGTGATCCTCAGGGTCAATCCTTGGTTATGACCATTAAATGTAATCATACATCACCCTCCCCAGTCATCCAAGACTTTCAACACTATGGCTGATTGATGAAGATTGCTTTGATCTCAGACTTTCCCTATCCCACATTGATGATTTAAGTTTAATCATAAGGAAGCCATGATCAAATCGTCGCAGGTATCTTTGTGTCAGGCTGGTCCAAGCAGGGTAAAGACATACAGGAAAAAAAATAACATTTGAATAGAACAAAATTGGATCCTTTTTTTTTTTTTTATATCGGTCCTCTATACATTGATTGGTTTATATTAGAGTTCACCTGCAATTAATTATCAGCCCAACCTGTGTCTAAACTGGAAGTGATATTATTGTTGATGACTTGGCAAAATCTGGGTTGCTGTTGTTTTTAAAGTTTGGCCTAAGGTTGAAGTTGGAGGTTTTCATCAGCAGATAATCACATAGGCCTTTCTCCTGTCTCAGTTTTCATCTCTTCTACCTCTTTTCTCCAACTTGTTTTCCAAATTTGCTTTGCGCATTCATATTTATTGACATTTGCCCAAACTGGCAAAATGAGAGAATTGGATAATTCTGGGGAATTCCCTTCTTGCACTCTCTCATATTGCATATTCACCCCCTCTTGGTATTTCAACTCGACTTTCAACCAGTGGAATCTGCTCTAAATTTGTTGTTTATGAAAAATGAAATTTTCGTTTTACAGTTTGCTTTATCAGTTGTGCTGAACAAATGTCAAGTCCACGTCACTTTTCCATTGTTCAAACTGTTCGACATATAATTCAAGTTGTTTATGTATGAATTAAATCCTCAATTCTTCCCACAGGTTTTTGGTATTAACCCTTCTCGTTTCAATGTCTCTCAGCACATAACACTTGCTTATGTTTTAACAAAACTTTCTTCCATCATTTTACCGTAGCAACAACAAATAGTATCACAAGAACAGCTAGAAGTCTTTCATTTGATGATTCCAACAAATTATACAAGCAATAGGGAAATATGTCAGTAGCGACATATTAAACGTGTTATATTTTACTAGTTGAAAAGTAAATGCAAACTTTTTTTTTCCTATCTAAAAACAAAAAAAAAATAGTTTTCTTACAAAAATAAACCTTAAAGATTGTTTAGGATTTATAATTTTATCACCAGTTTTAGATGAATTTGGGGAGAGAGGAGTGTCTCCTAGTCCACTTTTTTTTTTTTTTTTTTTTTTTTTTTTTTCCAGGGTAAATCTTGATATGTCTAATTGTTAACTTTTTAAAAATGAGTATCATCGTTTTGTTAAGAGGTGATTGTCATGTTTTACAGGTGTTAGTTTTCAATATTACATGTTTACAAAGAGAATTAGAGAATAATATTTACATTATTTGGACTATTGTCCTCATCTTTGTCGCCATATTTATTACAACGTTACAGCTGTTGTATGCTCCGGCCTTCTTCAGGTGGTTGGAATGTCGAACTGAACCCTTTATTTCGCTCACTGGGGTAGACTGTTCTAGTTCCACGTGCCATGTTTGATGTCAGTTATCAGTTATCTCCTGTTAATTTCCCTGTGAAAGTTTTCCACTGCCTTAACCATGTATTGAACTCACACTCTTTGGGTCCTGTCATGGGATCTAACCAACACCTTTATCCACTGTGCCATGTGTCCATGTGTTGGTTAGATCCAGTGACAAGTTGAGGACAATAGTTCGAATAATGTAAATAATGTACATAATACCTCATCTCAGAAATATAGACAGATATTAGAGAATAATATTTAAGTAAAACTGTCTTATTAATGAAAGAAATAGATAGTAAATGATTTAAATGTTTTTAATGATATCTCAAAATAATATTCTTGGTAACAGTCGGTCACACACATTTTTTTTCTCACATCTTTAAAATTTAAAGGATTGCCTTTTCCCTAGTAAAATATCAAAACTGACTAGCACCATGAAAAAAAAAAAAATGAAGAAAAAACTTTGCCAAACTTTGAAAAACAGCTAAGCCTACTAAACTTGCTATTGATGGTTTATAACATAAGATTTGGATAACACATTAAATATTAAAGGGTGCATTTGATGATATATTAGCTAATCTAGGCAAAAATATTTCTCCAGTGAATACTAATATCATATCTCTGACTTTCTCTATTCTGCAAAGATGAAAGAAAGTAAGTCTGAAATTACCTGTAAGAATAGAAGAGCCATACAACCTCCACCCTTTTCCTTTAACTTGCTATTGATGGCTTATAACAATACAGCCTCACTCTTGAAATGGTTGTTAGAAATCAGATGTGCCAGTTATAAAATTATTGAAATTTGTCAGTGATTACTCTCTTATAGCAGAGATGGAAAAACCATGCCTTATTAACTGTGATAGGTGTAGATTGGTTTGGTTTATTTAGGTTTAACAGCATATCAACCTTGAAAGTTTTTCCTGATATGTTCGTATGAAGAGAGTATGTCTTCCTTACAAGAAATAACTTTGTAGATCAGTTTTCATTGACATGTCTTATAAAGCAAGCTTTTGTCAAGCGCTAAACGTATTGTTGATAATCACTTTCTTCAAAAATGATACTTTTCCTTCCAAATTAGTTTACTAGTCCAGGTAAGTAAATGAATTTAGTGAACTTTTTTCTTTTAATTTTTCTGTAGATCCCAATTTCTTTAAGGAAATTTATGATGCTACTTGGATTAGTATTTTCAAAAAGATCCTTTAGGTTACCTGATTTATAGTGTTTACTACGGATTCGTCGGAGATTATGGCCATTTAGTAGGATGTGTTTGACTATAAGATTCCTGGCATGGGACACACATTGGAGATACCTCGTTTTTTTAGATGTTGGTGGGTTATGTATGTGTGTCCAATACGGAGTCTGCCTAGAACCATCTCCTTATCTTTCTGGAACATGCCGGTCTTTCACTGATGATAGGTTGAATGTTGAATAGTTTGTTGTTATTGCAGTTGTTTCGTAATTGCTGCCATTTGTCTTTTATGGCCCTGTTTATGCAGGTCTGAAGTCGGTGTGAGGAGCAACATTACTTTAGAGGGAGCCATGTTCAGAGATTCCTTGGCTATTTTGTCCACTTTTCCATTTCCTTGTATGCCAATATGGCTTGGTATCCAGGATAGAACTATTACTGTATCTTTTCCTTATAAATGGAGTCAAACCTATTTAATAAATTATTAATTCAGGGGTTTTTCATGATGATTTGTTATAAGTAGGAGTA